GAGGCTGCAGTGGCCGGGAGCGGCCACTGCACTCCAGTCTGGGCGACAGAGTGAGACTCCAACTCAAAACAACAACAACAACAAAAAAAACCACACATCAGCCTAAAGTAGTCATCGTCAACCTCTCACGTGATGCTCAAATGCTACAATTAGTCCATACAGACTGTGAAAACTAAATAGTAAGATACCATTTCACCCCGAGACTGCCCAAAACTAAAGAGTTGGGACATATATAGTATTGGAGAGGACACTTTTGCCCATGGGTGGAAGTATAAGTTGGCAGAGCCACAGCCAGGCACGATGGCTCCTGCCTGTAATTTCAGCTATGGGAGATGAAGGCAGGAGAATCGCTTGAGCCCAGGAGTTCGAGACCAGCTCCGGCAATGTCGTGAGACCTTACCTCTACAAAATATAAAAAATAAAAATAAAAAAATTCAGGCATGGTGGCGTACATTTGTAGTCCCAAGTACGAGAGATACCAAGGTGGAAGGATCACCTGAGCCCCAGAGTTCAAGGCTGCGGAGGCTGCAGTGAACCATGATCATACCACTGCACTCCAGCCTAGGCAATAGAGTGAGAACCAGACTCAAAAAAACCCCCCAAAATCAGCACAGCCACACTGATGAACAGTTGGGCGAACTGCAGTAAAACGAAAAATGCTCACACTCAACAACTCTGTAATTCCACTCTGGCTAGCTACTCCAGAGAAACATTGGCACGTGTACAAGAATGTTCATGGCACCTTATTAAGAGCAAGAAATGGCAAAAACCTGAATGTTCGTCATTAGATAAATGACTACCAGAACGCCATTCATTAATTCAAAGAAATGGAAAAATCTCAGTGCATGTAGCAACATGAACAGATCTCTAAAATCAGATACCATTTAAAAAAAATCAAGTTGCAGAATGATACACATAAAAGGATAAACATGCACAGACATTAAATCAGTTGTGTGAATTCAGGCACATATACATAAAATCAAAGAGAAAAGTCTGGAAGAATGCAGGCCAAGCATTTGCAAGGTTTAGTATTTTTATATTAAATTGTATGTTGAGGAAAGATACTATATCAGGGTCAGGTCAGGATAACTGATATTGCTCTAGGCATTTTGGGTAGAGAGAATTTAATGCAGAAAATTAATTGCAAACGTTGGGAAGGACTGTAAGAGAGAGAGAACGAAGGTCTGGAGAAGAGAAATGAAGACAGGATGATGTTGGGTGACCTCATGCGGCCCCAGCCCCAGCCCCAGGGACCTGTGTCTACTGCCGCACTATTGAAGACACAGTCACAGTTGCCATGGTTGGTTCTGGATCTACCCAAGTGATACCACATTGACCAGGGACCTATCCTCCTTGCCACACCAGCAACCTCCAGCCTCTGCTGCCCTGGGCACTTATCTCTGCCCCCATTATCAGATCTCCTGCCAGGGCCTCTTTTTGACCGAAGCTGGCAGGAAGCCTAAGAAAATGTAAGGGAGTCAGAGAATGTAGGCTTCAGACTTGCAGTCTCAGCAGTAAAAAGCAGAACCTGTGTAATCCTGTGACGAAGGAAGTGGGCCTACAGGACTGAGAGACCTGCTCAAGGTCTTCATCTGGCCCCCATGAGTCCAAATTCCCTTTGCCCCTCACCCTTGTGTTCATCAGTCACGTTAAAAGTTTAAGCCTTCCTCTCTCCGACTTTCCACAGCTATGCTCCACAATACCCTGCACTGCCTTCCCTGACCCACGCCCTGGACACTGCTCAGTCTTGAAACCTTCCCACTGTGCCCCTGGGAGGTGCTGCTCCATAACCTGGACATTCTGCCTCTTCTCTGAAATTCTGGACTCAGTAGTATAACTGCTTTTGAAATGTAAAGCAGCAATAAAATTTTACATTCCTCAGCCTCTTTTTTCCCCCAGGTGTGGTCATTTGTCACTGTTCTGGCCACTGCAAAGTAAGAAGAAGCTGCTAGCTGGAGTCCTGGGAGAGTTCATTTAAGGAGCTTCCCTTTTTGTTCCCTTTTCTTGTTCCTTGCTCTTGCCTGGAATTTGCATGTGATCACTGGAATTTCAGCAGCCACCTGGTAAGCATGAGGAAGAGTGCCATACCCCTGGGGAGCAGAGAAATAAAAGAACTCTGGGTTGCTGATGACATCTTGGAGTTACCACGCCAGACCTGCACTGTCTACTTCTAGACTTTTCACTCTATCAGAGGAAAATATACTCTTGTCTCATTTAAGCCATTGTTATTTGGGTTGTCTGTTGCATGCAGCCAAACTCAACCCCTAACAGATAACGTGTGCAGAGAATCCCCCTCCCTGGGCTCTGGGGTCCTCAATTTCCTCCTTCACTGACCTTCTCTTCTGTGCTGCCTTCCCCCCCCCCCCAGAAGTCACACCCTAGACCCTGTCATCAACCTTAGCTGTTCTCCTTTTCAGAACTTGGACATCAATCTCCAATCACAGCTTCCTGTCCTCCCAGGAGGAGGAGCTTGCTGGTCCAAATGCCCCTTCCTCATTAAGCCTCTCCATCTGCATCTCCCAATCCACCAGCCTCTCTTTTCTTGAGTCCTTGTCTGGCTGACATTCAGGACTGACATTTTAGGACTCCAGAAATACCCTGGCCAGTGTGTTCAGCATCCCTGCCCTTTGCTGTTCACTGCAGTTGTCTGGCAGAACTGCTAGCCTGGATAACTCCACTGTCTACACTTGCGGGCATGTGGCTGACCTGGAACACCACCAGAACCAAGCATACGACAGGGAAGTCTGCTACCACCTGCTTCATTTGAGTCCTCGCAGTGCCCCCCATTCTGACGACATTCCTCTGCTCAACTCCGCCTTCTCTCAAAGCAGTGATGCTATCAAGCCCTCTCCTCCCTATCAACTTCAACTCCCCATGGGATCCCTCTATTTTGCCCAAGGACACTCACTTTACAGAGGTAGCCTCTAGCCCAGACCTCTTGCTATAGTTTGAATGTTTGTGTCCCTCCAAAATTCTTGTTGAAACTTAATCGTCATTGTGGTGATATTAAGAGCTGTGGCCTTTTAGGAAGTGAACAGGTCATGAGTGCTCCGCCTTCATGCATAGGGTTAATGACCTTATGAAAGAGGTTCAGAACCCACCCAAAACACACAACTATATGGAAATTAAACAACATGCTTCTGAATGACTTTTGGGTCAACACAGAAATCAAGACAGAAATTAAAAGATACCTGGAAACAAAAACAAAGGCACGATATATCAAAACCTCTGGGATACCATGAAATCGGTGAGAGGGAAGTTTATAACATTACATGCACATGTCAAGAAAGTACAGTCTAATATCACATCTAAGGGAGCTGGAAAGGCAGAAACAAATCCTAAATTCAGTAGAAAAATTCAGATTACTAAGATAAAGTCACAATCACAGGAAATAGAAACCAAAAATATCACAGAAAGGATCAACAAGATAAAAAAAAAAGCTGGTTCTCTGAAAGGATGAGATTGACAGACCTCTGGCCATATTGACTTTAAAAAGAGAGAGAGAGAGAGAGAGAGAGAGAACAAATAAACACAATTAGAAATGAAAAAGCAATATCACAACTGACTAAAGAAATTCAAGACTATCAAAGATTACTATGAACATCTGTATGCAAATAAACTAAAAAATCGAGAGGAAATGGAGGAATTCCTAGCATAGCACATTCTCTCAAGGTTGAAACAGGAAGTAATTGAAACCCTAAACAGACCAATAACAATCCAAGGAATCGACTCAGTTATAAGAAAACTCCTGCCAAAAAAAGCCCTGGACCAGATGGTTTCTCAGCTAAATTCTACAAGACATGCAAGGAAGAACTGATTCCAATCCTATTGAAAGCATTCCAGGCAATCAAGAAGGAGGGAATTCTCCCTAGTTCATTCTGTGAAGCTAGTGTCATCCTGATTCCCCAAATTGATGAAGATCCAGTAAGGAAAGAGAATTATAGGCCAATTTCCCTGATGAACATAGATGCAAATTCTCAACAAGATTCTAGCAAATTGTATCCAACAACACATTTAAAGATTATTCATCTTGAAAAGGTAGGCTTTATCCCCAGGATGCAGGGCTGGTTCAACATTCGTAAGTCTATAAACGTAATCACTTAACAGGTATAAAAGTAAAAACCACATGATTATTTCATTGGATGCATTTGATGAGATCCAGCATCCCTTCTTTATAAAAACACTAGGCATCAAACACCTAGGTGTCGAAGAAACATTCCTCAAAACAATAAGAGCCATCTGTGACAAACCTATAGCCAACACCATGCTTAATGGGCAAAATCTGGAAACATTCCCCCTAAGAACTGGAACAAAACAAGGATGCCCACTCTTATCCCTCCTATTCAACATAATACTGGAAGTCCTAGCCACAGCAATCAGGTAAGAAAAGGAAATCAGGGTTATCAAAATAGGAAAAGAAAAAGTTAAGTCATCCCTCTTTATAGATATGAACTCTATAAATATGGTTTGATTCTGTACCTAGACAACTCTGGAGAGTCTGTCAAAAACTTCCTCGCACTGATAAATGATTTTGGTAAAGTCTTAGGATACAAAGTCAACACTAAAA